CCCAAACATCAGTTGGTTCCATTTAGGTTTATTAATCGGCAGCTTGGGAACAGCTTTGGGCTTTCTCAGGCAAGGGGTAAAAACCAGAGGGTTACAGCTGCTCTGCTCAAAATGATCGACCAAAGCCAGGTCCATGATGGCCTCTAGATAAACCAATAATGTTTGCATTTTCAATACGTTTGTGGGGAAAACAATCATCTAAAGTTTAATATAGAAATTGACGTGCCATCTCGCTCCCTCTCACTCTGCTGGAGGGTTGTCGCTTTTAACAATCAAACGTCGAGCAAGTGAAATATTCAATGTGTAATGATGCGTTAGGATTCACAATTGTTTAGTCACTACTAGAGATGTCCCGATCCGATCACGTGATTGCGGATCGGAGCCGATCACGTGATTTTCAAAAGATCGGAATCGGGAGAAAAAAATCGGGAATTAAAAAAAAAAAAATTATGTAAAATATTTTTATTATTTTATTTAATGTTACAAAACAAAAATGACCATGTTCACGTCTTCAAGTCATCCTGAGGCCTTAGTTTTGGTTTAAAATGACACAACATCATGTATGTGTTGCTTCTGTTGGGCTTGTTTTCAGACCTGGTTATTCCTCTCAAAGCAACAGAGTGGGCGCAGTGTCTAATAGTAGCAGCTAACGAGAGGCTACGTTCAGCTGGTGACTCGGGAGTCGGGACAGAGAAAATGTCAGGAGTTTGGAAGTATTATAAAATTGAAAGCGAAGGCAGTGTAACAGCCAGATGCAATGTTTGCAAGGCGGAGGTTCCGCGTGGTGGAAAGAACAGAGCTACGTTCAACACGACCAATCTAACACGCCACCTGAGAAACAAACACCAACAACACGACGAGTACACAGCGGCCACTCAGGGAACGGCACTGAAGCAACCGACACTTTCAGAGGCTTTCAAAAGGAAAGAGAAACTGCCCCAGAACAGTGAAAAGGCCAAAGAAATAACAGCAAGATAGCTGAACTCATCGCGTTGGATGACCAGCCGTTATCTGTTACCTTTGTTTTCTCTTAATGCATTGCATAAAGATCGGGAAAAATCGGTATCGGCAGATTGTCAAAATCAAATGATCGGAATCGGATCGGGAGCAAAAAAAGGTGATCGGGACATCGCTAACTACCACAGGCAGTTCTACAGTGAGTGTTTGAGCTCCACAGGCAGTGCCTTGTACCCTAAACACAAAGCTCTGCCCTCTGATTACATGCCCTGCTGCCCGTCAGTGAACAGGACGGATGTTGCTCTCTTTGTGGAGGAAACTAGCGAGCTGTGCTGAACGGTGAAGCATCTGAGAAACGTTTTAAATGCTTGTTTGTTTGTTACTGAAGTGAAGCGGAGGAGGCAGGTTAATGAACACAGACAGGTAGACTTTACAACACAGTCTAGGAGAGGCCATTTGTTCCAACACATTTGAATAAATTATCTACAATATTATTCAATATTCAATAGTATCATTTGTGTGTTTGTCCATCCTGAGGAGACACCGGGTCTACAGAACATGTCTGAGGCTGTGACGCTCATTTAACCAGTAGTCGAGTACACGTGTACACACACACACACACACACACACACACACGCACACACACCCCCACACACACACACACACACACACACACACACACACACACACACACACACACACACACACACACACACACACACTTCCAGGCTGATGAAGACATCCGCTTTTCTCGATTACACACAAGCTGTTAAAAATTAGATCTCGCCACGTTATACTTAGCATACACGAGTACACACAATACACACACACACACACACACACACACACACACACACACACACACACACACACACACAGAGACACTTGTACTGCCCCAGCAACTGCACAGCTGTCTCTCCATGTTGTGCCCATGTGACTCCGGCCCACACGCTCTGTCCAAGATTTAGTTTACATCCCCAAAAAAAGACACCCCAGCTATTCCTGTACGATATCTCACCGCCTGACGAGATGTGAGATTGAACAAAATAACCCCGCTTCAAATGTTCCAATTAACACCTCGCAGGCTGCAGTCATTAAGATCTCTTCAGCTCAAGGGCTTAGGGAACAAACAACATATTGAAGTTTTTTCTTGGCTTTGCTTCGACGGATCTTTAAATAACTTTGAGGCTCATAGCTTTCCACAAAACTGAAATCCAGTAAGGACTTCCATGTTGTCTGTTATTCAAAGTTGTAAAGGAGGGTCTCAATGTTACTAGACGACCCTGAGAGAGATAGGTCAGTTACATTTTGCTCCACACTTTTTCCATTGAGCAACATGACACCCTGCTCAGCACATAGACGTGTTCACTGACATATAATTACTGCTTCTTCCCTAACAGGCCACGCTAACACATGGGGGTTAAGCCCCTTTTGAATCATGCACACACATGATGCTGTCATTGCCTTGCAGTCAACATGTGTCCTTTAAACCCAAAACTCTCCCTTGACATATCTACGGTATGAACAGAGATGGCCAAAGTACACACATCCTTTCCTCAAGTAGAAGTACAGATACTCTGGTGAAAGTAAAAGTACTGACTAAACTTCTTTATTCAAGTCAAAGTAAAGAGGCTTTGAAATGTACTTCAGTAAAAAGTACCCATAACTAGCAGCTGTTTTAAAGAGTACCTGACCTCCCTTTATATAATAGAACAATAATGTCATTGTTAGCTAATGAATGTTTCCATGCTGAACAACGGCAACATGACAACGTTTCCATTGGTCCCTCTTCTTTAGAGAAGACCAGGAAATGATGGATACACGGATCGTGTTCAAATCAATAGGCACGCAATGACTCTAAAGAATAATGATCACTCCCCAAACACACATTCAGACTAAAGGAACCAGCTGTTTGGAGAATGAGAGAAGTAGAAAGTACAAGTATTTGAGTTCAACATGTGAGAAGTAGAAAGTACAGGTATTTGAGTTCAACATGTAAGAAGTAGAAAGTACAGGTATTTGAGTTCAACATGTAAGAAGTAGAAAGTACAGGTATTTGAGTTCAACATGTGAGAAGTAGAAAGTACAGGTATTTGTGTTCAACATGTGAGAAGTAGAAAGTACAGGTATTTGAGTTCAACATGTAAGAAGTAGAAAGTACAGGTATTTGGGTTCAACATGTAAGAAGTAGAAAGTACAGGTATTTGTGTTCAACATGTAAGAAGTAGAAAGTACAGGTATTTGAGTTCAACATGTAAGAAGTAGAAAGTACAGGTATTTGTGTTCAACATGTAAGAAGTAGAAAGTACAGGTATTTGGGTTCAACATGTAAGAAGTAGAAAGTACAGGTATTTGGGTTCAACATGTAAGAAGTAGAAAGTACAGGTATTTGTGTTCAACATGTAAGAAGTAGAAAGTACAGGTATTTGTGTTCAACATGTGAGAAGTAGAAAGTACAGGTATTTGTGTTCAACATGTAAGAAGTAGAAAGTACAGGTATTTGTGTTCAACATGTAAGAAGTAGAAAGTACAGGTATTTGAGTTCAACATGTAAGAAGTAGAAAGTACAGGTATTTGTGTTCAACATGTAAGAAGTAGAAAGTACAGGTATTTGGGTTCAACATGTAAGAAGTAGAAAGTACAGGTATTTGGGTTCAACATGTAAGAAGTAGAAAGTACAGGTATTTGAGTTCAACATGTAAGAAGTAGAAAGTACAGGTATTTGGGTTCAATATGTAAGAAGTAGAAAGTACAGGTATTTGTGTTCAACATGTAAGAAGTAGAAAGTACAGGTATTTGTGTTCAACATGTAACAAGTAGAAAGTACAGGTATTTGTGTTCAACATGTAAGAAGTAGAAAGTACAGGTATTTGAGTTCAACATGTAAGAAGTAGAAAGTACAGGTATTTGTGTTCAACATGTAAGAAGTAGAAAGTACAGGTATTTGTGTTCAACATGTAAGAAGTAGAAAGTACCGGTATTTGGGTTCAACATGTAAGAAGTAGAAAGTACAGGTATTTGTGTTCAACATGTAAGAAGTAGAAAGTACAGGTATTTGTGTTCAACATGTAAGAAGTAGAAAGTACCGGTATTTGGGTTCAACATGTAAGAAGTCAAAGTAAAAAGTAGTCAGAAAAATAAGTAGTGGAGTAAAGTACTGATACCAGAAAAATGTACATAAGTACAGTAACAAAGTATTTGTACTCCACTGCTTCCCACCTCTGGATATTAAAGTGTATATCAGTTGAATCGGATAAAAGCGTTAGCTAAATAACATATACTTTAATTTAATATACTAACAGTTTAGTTGAATGCTCGATTCTGATTGGTCAATTTGGACATTTGAGAGGTTGTTATTTTTCGCTAACAGACCGTTGCTAAGGAAGGTAAAGTGGATTCATGATAGCTAAACTGTCCCAAGTAAATAAAATAAAAAGAGAAGACGAGAAGGACAGAGGCTTGAAAAGAGATCTGGACGTCGGATAAATCAACAGAAGAAGACAGACAGGAAGTAAACTCTAACAGGAACACAGTATGGGCTCTGGCAGTGTTTAAAGACTGGTTAATGCAAAATAAAATGTGAACAGACTTGGACAGTTATTAAAAAAAACATCGATCAGTTCTACCGTCATTTCTAAATGACGCTGCTGTCGCCACAGTTCCCAATCACCCTGTATTCGTAAATCTAATCTGAGTCCTATATGCTTAGAAAGCCTAAACAAAGAAACCTGTAGGTGCAGATCATTCTACAAGTGAGGTGAATGTTAGACATTGTGACCCTTTAAGTTTATTTATTTTTATTATATATACTATATGTTCTTTCCCACTATGACTGTATGCCATTAAGTATGGTATTCCTGTCATGCTATGTTTTTTCTTTATTATTCTTGTTGGATGTTCCTTTTTGTCGTCTATGTTGAAAAAGGGAAGCATGATTTCCACCCCAAAGAAGTCTGTACTATTGCTTACACTCGTATGCTTCTTCTCAATAAAACTATTTGAATGTTAGACATTGTGTTCAAATGAAAGTCACCAGGACTCACCTCCATCCACAGCCCTGCCAGTTGCAGGCGAAAGGCTTCTCCCCCGTGTGCCTCCTCAGGTGAGCCTTCAGGTGGCTGCTCTTCGTGTACATCTTGGTGCATCCAGGAAAAGTACATTTGTGCATTTTGATAATATCCGCCATGGGGTTCTTCTGGAACTTTTGACCTCCGATGAGAATCCCCGATCCGTGGTTGGCCGATCCATCGCAGAGTCCCAGAGGTTTGGATGCAATGGGGACGGGAGCGATGCGAACAAACTTAGAGGAGACGTTCAGGCTGGGGTTGGGCAGGATGTGAGGCACCAGAGCAAAGGTCTGGCCCTGGATGTTGACTAGAAGCTGTGCGATTGTGATGTCTGAAGATGGGGATGTCGGAGATGTTGGTGTTACAGGAGCTACTGTCGGCTCCTGCTTGATCTGAAGAGGCTGAATCTGCACAATGACCGCTGAAGGCTTGTTGGATGATGCCTTCTTCGACTCTTTGCTGGGTTCATGTGAGTCGATTGATGTGGTGTCACTGGAGGCAGCAGTGGGGACGGTTTGGTCTGAATGCTGGGTTTCTGGTTCGATTTTAGGCACGGTAGAGGCGTCCCTGCACCACTCCAAACCAACTCCAAGACCAAGAGCCTCTTCCAGTCCCAACGCCAGACAACCCTCTCTGATTTCATGCTTCATCGTCACCACTTCCATATTCTCCTCCAGGAACTCTTCGATCTCCTCCAACGTGGGCTGGAAAGAGCCTCCAGGTTGTTCCTCCGCCTCCACATTGGACCAGGTGAGGAAGTCAAACTGTTCCTCTTTTACATCTCTCCGGGGGTCACAGAAGAAAGAGGATATCTGGGCCACAGATCCTGAAGGCACAGCTCCTCCCAGCGAGGCCTGGGACAGTAAGTGATCGAGCATACTGTCATGGCTCTCTGTGCTAGAGTTGCTTCCATAGCTGGAGCTGAGAAGCTGGGAATCGGGACTTGAACAGGACCGAGGGCTGGAGGACTCGCTAAGGTCGTCCTCCGAAAAAGGCGAAGGCATCACCTGGTAGGAGCTCAGATCCGTCACCAAGTAGACCTTCGGAGATCCAGGGTGAAGAAAAGTCTCCTCGCTAACCGGAGAGTTATCCACCATCCCTGGAGCGTGCCAAACCGCTGCCTCCTGCTGGACTCGGATGAATTGTCAGATAATTATCCTCTGGGCAAGTTAGGCCCAAAAAAACACCTCAGGTCAACAAGGGCGCTCTCTCCCAACCGAGGTGAGATAGTGGAACACCTGCTGTGCTCTCTCACAGTGGAGAAAAGTGGCTCCAAGGTCTCCAACCAGGATAGCGTGTGTCTACAGGGAAATAAACACAGACATAACATTCATTATTGTTTTGATTGCCCGTAGGCCTACTACATGTTTTAATTCTTATTCTACCACAACGAGGCTATCCTTCAATGACCTCTTCATATTTAATATATTATTTATTGATCCAGGAGGTGTGTGGCGCAGTGGAATGTGCGTTGCTGTTCGGATCAGGGGAGCACAGGTTGAAACCCCACTGCAGTCAGCATGTCGTTGTGTCCCTGAGACCCTTCACCCCAAATTGCTCCTGTGGGGATTGCCCACAGTATTGAGTATGTAAGTCGCTTTGGATAAAAGCGTCTAACAAGTGACATGTAATGTAATCTAGTTGTGGAAGAAGCAATCAGACTTTAGTGAAAGTAGAAATACTATGGTCCTTAAATACTCTTTTGCAAACTGATAAGTTAACATTTTGACATTACATAACATTTTCAATGTAACCCTGGCTGTTTCTATTGGCTTCTCACCATGTATTTAAACCTCAAATAAACAGTATTTTGTTTCACTGTAAAGTATTTATTTTACATTCTGTTCTCGGTGGTCTTCTATTCTATGTAACATATATAGGCTCCTGCACTTACTTGGTCACTTACAACATCCTCTGCAACATTTATCTTATTGTATTTATTTTTAGTTTACCTCTATTGCATTAATTGCCATTGGTCTTGCACTATTTCATTTTTACTCTGTTCTTCTTGCACTATTGTTATTGTTTTTTAAATGTGTTTTATTGTTTAATGTCTTATATATAGTTTTATTGTTAAATGTCTTGCATTGTTGGAGGAGCCTTAAGTTTCTCATTGACGTAAATACAGCTACTGTGGAATATGACCATAACGCTTTTGATCTTGTCGTTGCTCATCACGTGGATCAGCAGCAGGAGTAACCCTCTTCACATTTATTTTTATACAGTATACACTTCACAAGTAGGTTATTTTCCTGGAGGTCACACACTGCCTCTATACATCCCCCACCAGGGCCCCTGCATGGTGACCGGGAGTAAACCCTCCAGAGGAGAAACTGTCAACACTGGATCAGAAACACCTGCGTAAATCAGCTGCTCTGTTTACAGGACAGAGAGGAAGAGAGAGGATGACCCATCACTCCTTACATTTATCATGGAAGAGAGAGGATCTTTGATGACCTATCACTCCTCACATTTATCATGGAAGAGAGGATCTTTGATAACCTATCACTCCTCAGATTAATCATGGAAGAGAGGATCTTTGATGACCTATCACTCCTCACATTTATCATGGAAGAGAGGATCTTTGATGACCTATCACTCCTCACATTTATCATGGAAGAGAGGATCTTTGATGACCTATCACTCCTCACATTTATCATGGAAGAGAGGATCTTTGATAACCTATCACTCCTCAGATTTATCATTTCGACCTGCAGGCACACTTTGATTCATTTCCACAGATCTATAGTCACCTCACATGGGCATGCTGTAAAGACAATCATAAACAGGTGTATGGTGCAAACATGAACATAGTTAAAGAAGATACATTGTAAGAAAAACGACAAATTTATTTTTAAAACCTATTAAAAAAACCTATTATAACTAATAAAAAAATATATATATATATATAATAAAAAAAATACTCGTTATAATAAAGTAAAAGATGTGCGGTATTGTTGGAAAGCTGTGCAGATATGAATAGAAACTCATTAAATGAAGAAAGACTCATTAAATGTCATGTGTCCAGTTATAACCATGTTATTGTGTAGGCAGCATGGGTCAGATAACTTACAAACCCCATCACATGCACAGCTACAAACATGAAACCATTCAAATGTGATTCATTCACATGTTGTTGTAGTTAAACTGCAGCATTGCAAAAATCCAAACCCCGTAATAATCCATAATATGTGTGGTGTTTTCTTCCCGCAATGCATAACGCATGAGTAGGCGCGCGCGTCTGCACTCCCAACGTAAACATGTTTTCGTCCAGCGCGCTGCAGCATATGTGTGACCCTGAACGCACCACGACATCAAATTATCACCCTTACCTTGCTCAGTGAAAAAGAGAATAGTATAATCCCAATGCAAAATACGCAGGGAGTTGTGTTTGTATCCGAAAAAGGGGGGTGGGGGTTCAAAGACTTTGCCCTTGAGCCTCCATGCAGCAGCAGAAGCAGCGTTCACTGACTGAGGGTTGCTCTCAGATCTACTATATGACCGTCACATGACTCCAGTGTTACTGGAGTGAGAAGAAATAAGAGGCTGCAGCTGAAGGCTCGACCAAGCTCTGCAACCTCACTGGTCGATGCTGGTGGAAGGAGGCGGGACCTTTAGGCCTGTCAATCAAGAGGCCTCTTACTCTGCTGCGTGGAAAAAAATGTGGGTCGGTCGCCTCTGAAGGAAGCAGCCAGTTACAACCTGTTCTCAGGAGGATACGTAACAATCAGGGAGTAACGGATTACATGTAAATGGGATTATGTAATCAGCATTACAAATACAATTTAACTGTAGGCTATTCGCTTAGGCAAAGCATGTTTACTTATCAAAGTCAAAGTCAACTTTATTGTCAATGTTTCAGTTTGTGTGTACAGACCGTACAGACAGAGGGATCGAAATACCATTTCCCACAATCCCAGGGGCGGTTCTAGGGGGGGCCAGTGCCCCCTAACACTGACCTCTGACCCCCCTGTGGCCCCCCTAACAATAAAAGTTTTTTTGTTTTTTTTAAATGTATATTTTCTGGTACTCGGTTTGCCAAAACCCGCAGGATTTTGTTGCTGTAATGTGAGATTGTGCAGACACCCTTATGTAAAGTAGAGATGTAACTGTTCATTGCCTTTATTTTTATATAAATATGGTGTTAGTGCAAACATTGCACTATAACTTAAGCTGAAGCTAACAGTAATAACTATAAGATCTATCTGAAATAAATAAGTGTACTGAAACAAATACCAATAACTGTATTGAATTGTTTTCTTATGCGCAATTACTTCATACTGTCTAGTTCTCTTTTTCGTCCTGCATTTATTGTGCCCCCCTCAGAAAATAACTGGCCCCCCCAGTCAAATTGGTCTAGAACCGCCACTGCACAATCCCGAATACAAAAATACAATGTTCATCTTTAAATGTAAGAAAGCCAAGAGAGCATTGCCTCAAATGTTGAAGGATACTCTTTTTTTATTTGCACTTTACACAATTCATGAAACTTGTAAAAATGACAAAGGTCTAATTTGACCTTTTGAGAAGCTGCTGGTGTTTCACTCTGTGTTTGAGAGTTCACCAGCATGGTGTTGGACAATGTAAAGAAGTTTAGGCTAGTTGACCTAGCAAGTAGTTAGCTGTAGCTGATCTGTATTGGCTACAGAACACACACTGGACTCAGCTGGAGTGAAGCGCTGTTCATCTGTCACAATACACTTTATGACAAACCAATATGTTGTGTGTATCTGTTATTCTCCCTCCTCCTCGCAGACGGGATGCTGCACTGAGTTCAGAGATGGAATGCTAACGTTAGCAGCCGGTGTGTTAACAACGGCAAACTGCTTCAGACTTACAGCATGTTGTGTGTGCACGTGTTTCAGTGTGTTCTGGTGTTGATCACAGAATGAATCAGAGCATTAGAGATGAGTCCGAATATTTAGAAAAGGTTTGAACGCCTTTTGTAATGTTCAGACTCATCTCCATTAGCAGCGCGCTCCTCAGCAACTAACACAAATACTTATCGGTGTTTCGATGCTGAGCAATCCGGTACCGGTACCACATTAGTACCGGTTTCCGATTTCTTGCGGTTCTGAGTGTGATTGCCTTTATTGTGAGCTGAATTGGAGTGAATGTAATGTAAGCTCTGTGGGTCACTGTGGGTCAGAGTATCAGAACACTTCCTCTCACAGAGGAGCTCAGCCTCTCAGGAACACTGAGGATGAAGCCGCTCAACAGGAAGCGTTTGGATGTTAACGTGCTGCTTGTTACCATGCTCTCTGGGCATGGCAGCGATTAGGGTTTGGCTCTGAGTCTGCAGACGTTTTCACTTCACATGTTGATCTGAACTCTGAGTGTGTTCTTCTCTCTGTGTTTGTGGTCGTGATTACATGACGGACTGGCTGTTCTGCTTTCCTGTTGAGAACGAGAGAGTGAGGAGAAAGGATGGAAGGGTAAACAAAACATGCAATAGATTGTACACAATGAAATAAGTGCTGAACACATGTGGATCATTACATACACAACTAGATATTTATGTTATACTTTTACTGCATTTATGTAGTGATCTATAATCAATATCACACATTCTGCTCCAGGAGACTTGTATTTACTACAGTATGTGCATTAAGCATAACCAGAAGTGCAAAATAAGCACTGCAGAGTTATTTAGTCATAACATAATTAGACATATGTAAAAAGTACACAGTATGAACAGTATGTATAAACACTAGTAAAGCAATTGAATGCAGCACAGAGTTGGTATTAATATAGACATTATAGACCGTTATTGACACTTTTATAAATAGTATGAATAAATACGAGTATGCTATAAGATATAACCATTCGGACAGTTTCATCAGCGACTGTGTTTGCAAAAATGAGCCTTTCTTGAATTCTTAAACAGTGATGTATCGAACATCACTCACAGCAGGAAGTAGTGCATGCTTGCTAATGTAAACCATACGTCCAAAACAGTCAGGCATTGTTTCTGATAGCAACGCTTCTGATTGGGCCGTGGGTGTAAAGCCAGCCCACATTTCAGATATTGCGTCATATCGGACGCAAATCTGGAACAGCTCCGTTTTTAGAGATGTGAGTACGGAGGAAAAGAGAGAGGGTTTTGTTCCCTGACGCACCGGGGACTCGTCTTTATGTATACAAGACATACAAACGCGCATTTTGCATGATAGGAGACCTTTAAGTCAGCTGATGCATATCCTGCAGGTCTTCTCCAACTACGACCCCTCCCTTTCTGCAGTGACGGATCAGTGAAGTGCTTGACCCGGCTCAGCTCGGTATAGAATCCATTACAGTAACTGGATGTTCACCGGTCTGACCCCACTTGACCTTTTAATCCAGGCATCAAACAGCTGGAGCCAGAAGCCATGAGCGGGTCACTGTCTGCAGCTGAGAGGAGGATAAGTCGAGTCCTCTGCCCTACTTTCTCTCTCCCCAGGGATGCTCTCAGACTCTCATATTTACATGGTGGATGTTGAAATGTGGTTTGACTTTCCCTCCAGAGAAGACGAGGCTTTTTCGTCGGGATCCTGGTCATCTTGTCGGTGTTTTTCTATCATTAATGACGAACTGCACAAATGTTAGAAATGTATATTCAAAAAGTATTCCATGAGGTTATCCAATGGATTACTGCAGAGAAACCTAACATTTTATTTTGGTCGCAGCTGAGGTCAAATTGACCATCCTCCTTTCTGCGGTTTCATATAAATGCACGTCTTCCTTAGCAGCGGTCTGCTATCGAGATATAACAGACCGTAGAATATCAATATGTCAGAATTGAACATTCTACTATACTGTGTGATAAGTGATAACTAAATGTTATACTTGAGTTTGAGATTTGATAACCACATCTTGTGACACACTGATATTACGTCATGTCCCCGAGTCCTGTAGCTCTCACATCTGACAGTAAAGCAGAAATCATTCATTAACAGATGTGACGTAGAACCAGGTGTTTTCAGATTGTGAGTGTGTGTGTGTGTGTGTGTGTGTGTGTCATCATGGCAATCAGTGTTGTAATGTAATAAAGTACATTAACTCAAACTACTTTTGTGTTACTAGTACTTTTAAATGTCTATTATATGCTTTACTTCTACTTGACGCATTTTGGTAGCTATTGTACTTTTTACTCCACTACCACTAAACCTTTAATTAAATATTTAGGATATACATTATTAGAAAATCTATATATAATTCACCTAATAAATAGACACTTCCATAAAAGTATATGTTAAGATCCAGCAGCAGTAAAGTAATTAAACATAACTTTACCAGCTGTTATGATCACATAAATGCATCTATAATCATATCCCAGTCATTTCATAAATATGATTCTCAAATGAGGCCATTACGGTAACGAGTACTGTTACTTTTGGCACTTCAAGTACTTTTTGACACCGGTCCTTTTGCCATTTTACTTCAGCAAGACTTTAAATACACAACCTTTACAATTGAGTATGTCTCCTTTAACCTTTAAGTTGGAAATCTGAGTACTTCTCCAGCCACTGACGGAAGCAGAGGGAAACGCTGAATGACTTTGATGCCCTCTAGTGGTCAGAAAAGGTACAGCAGGGCATTTCGGATTTGTCTTCTTCAGGATTTGGACAAAGTGACCCTGAACGCATGCTCCTTTTACTAGTCAGAGCTACAGCTTCAAATGACGAATAAGGAAAGTCATTAAAGACCAAATATAATCCGAGATATATGGAGGAAGGACAGTTGGAACAAAGGCTTCTGGGAAATGTGGACTACATTCAGCACACAGCACAGATATAAGAAAAGAGCCCCGATTTCCCCAATAACTTTATAAACATGTCCAAAAATAAGAACGGTTGAAATGTCTGCATCCTCAGACTTGAGTTCAGTGTGTGACATGTCCTCTATATTTCCGCTTCCTGAAGAATGGCTGTATGCTGTGCTGATTGTAAACCCCTGAGACTAATGTGTAACTTGCAACACTCGGCTCCAAACATTTGATTAAACTCCCTCTGGAGCAGTGGCGAGCCGTGACTTTTATACCTAGGCCCTCTGACCCCCCTTCCCTCGAAAAAAAAGAAGAGATATTACGTCTCAACGTAGACTTCAGCGGAATATCAAAACAGTGGTCCGGGGTGCAAAACGCATCAATGACAGCGACCCTCTACCACACAAAACAACATCATTTATATAAACACCTATCATGACAGGGCACCCACAGCCAAGTAGCGATTACAAATGAATTAAGTCGGCACGGCGGCCCGCATTTCAAAAATAGTAAAAGTAGGATAGACATGTGGATATTATCCGGCTGAACAAAACGTGCATTTATCTAACAGGTTCGTTTTCCACAGACCTTATTTCGAGCTATTTTCCAAAATCCTATGGAGAAATCCCATTGCTTTCTGTCGAGGGAACCCGAGCGCAGCTTACTTCCGGGTTTTAGGACGCGTCACTGCACCACTTGCATAGACCTCACAGCGGGCGGAACTTGTCATAAAGTCCGCGAAAATAAAGCCCGCCCATTTAGAGGGAAG